CAGTCTGCAGATCTGCTGCAGATAGCCACCATGTGGTGTTGTTGTGTTCTGAGTTCTGTTTTGAGATGGAAACTATTCTAAAAATTGAAGATTTACACACCTTCTCTTCTCTCTGTGATGTTCAGTCTATCCAATATATAAACAGACAAAATGAGAGAAGCAGTGGAGTTTCTCGATAAAAATACACACATTCAATCACGAAACGGAGAAAATAATCCACAACGTTAAATTTCCATTCTTACGAGAGCACAAAAACATACGGAATCCAAAAATAAATCACTCTTCCCCCAAAAAGCCAACTGTTTTGCTCACCAAATTTTAATGTTTTTACTACAGGAGATAGAATCGAGAGGAAGTTCTCGTACAAGCATTGACGGCAATGAAGGCGAAAAAAGTCATACAATTAATGAAATATGCCTTCATTTTATTTTCTTGAATATATATATATATATATATATATATATATATATAATATATATATATATATATATATATTAATAATAGTAATTAGAACAATTTGTACTCTTATACAAATTTAATGTAAATATTAAGACGACACATTAATAGATTAATAGATTGTTCTCCTAACGAACAACTCCTTCTGGAATAAGGATATAATAGTTAGTAGGTAAATAAAAATGTTATTATATATTACCATTACAAATCCTTTTAGCGAAGTAATTAGGGCATTCTTCTTCTTCTCTTTCTTTTTCTCTTTCTTCTTCTTCTTCTTGACCAATATAGATAGGCTTATCAAATCTTACTGTTTTTTATTTTTGTACTGCAATTAAATGTTCACTAAAAAGTATTCTAGACCTAAAATTCAATCTATTAATAGCCTTCTAAACCTTTTTTTTCATCTGTATATAAATCAGTATTCTGTCTTTTTCTGACAGATTCCATCGATTTACCATAAGGAGCATTTACCATTAATTTCCAAAAATCTTTTTCAAAATTAATTTTGATCGCCTATTTTGTGTACTCATAAATACATGAGGAGTCTCTTCAAAAGCCAAAACTCTATGTACTTTTTTAATTTTCATACCTAAATCTACATAAAGCTTTAATAATTTACAATGAATAACATATTTCTTATCATAAAAATGACAAACTACATTTGCAGTTCTCATATGTTTCAACTTTATAAACTCGGGAGCTAAAGGCATATCATTAAATATTTCATGAAATTCCGCTGAAAATGATAAACCTACTTCTAATAACTATCCTGTAGAATTTTGACTTCTTAAAATAGTCTGAATATCAAATTTCTTTAACCAATGGAAATTTTTATAGGGTAATTCCTGAGATAAAGCCCAACCATAAAAATTACAATCATCTATGAAATTAATTTATGTATTTTCATTAGATTTTGAATATCTATTTCTACATTGACTTATGCCTCCATGAATACCATGTTCTACAAATAATAACATATCTATTTCTGTTAATAATTATAATTCTACTCCCATATAATGCAAAAGTCTATCCCAAGCAAGACCTGGACTTGTGAAAAAGCTGCATCTAAATTAAATTATTTTAAACATAAATCTCTAAAATTTAAAAAAACGTCAGCTAGTAATAACACATCCATCGTGCTATTCTCCTAAATTATTAATGTTAAAATGCTTCCATACTTTCAAAGCATAATCATAATATTTTTGTGAAATCATCTCAAAAGTTAATTTTGAATACAATTTTTCTCTTGAATGTATTTGTGTTTCCAGAAACATATCAGATGAATTCATATATTCATAAGGGGAATACCTATTCTTATTATTTTTTCATCTTTAGATTTTCTAAACAATATAGATATCTAAATCATATAAATACTTACTCGTAATAATAAGTTAATGTTCTTCTAAATTAGAACTTAAAGTATCTAAACTCTGAGATAGAAAACAAAACAAATCTATTGACCTCAATTCCTTTGTACGGTCTTCATTTATTAGAATAAGTTTATTTACAGAGATATATATTTCCTCATTATTCGCAATAAGCTTTAAATCAGATTTATCGTCACCTAAATTTGGAATAAATGCATGACAATCATAATTACTAAAGTTATGGAAAAATTTAGGAATAAAAATTAGTTTCATTTTTTTCAGCTATTTCATGTACAACTCAAGTGATGATAGATACAAAATAAGTATCTGCATTTTCTCCTCAATGTCAACATAATGGACCTTTAATTTTTTCTCCTATTAAATAACAGCTAGAACCACAAGGTATATACTCTTCTGCCTGTTGTGTCTTTTTTCCAATCATATGATCTATAGGCGGTAATAAACTTTCATTTTATCCAACAATAGTGGGGAATTTTGTTATTAGAATGGAGTAATAAATCAATATTGGTTTCGAATCTCAGTTCACTATTGTGATAATGAGAATAAATATCTGTATCTTCGTAAGCAAAAACTGTAATATTGAGTTGATTTAATCTCTGAAACTTAGGAATCTCATCAACAGAAAGGGAAAATACTACATCATAAAAATTCAAATTGTTTTCAAAATCTTTATATTTTTAAATCCTCTGTGTGTATGGTTACTGGATACAAAGCTGATAAAATATCCCACATAGAACATTTATTATCAGAATTTTTTACATTAATACAAGCATGTCTACTATTAATCCAAGGAGGTAATTCAATATAAGAACTAGCTCCTAATGGTACATATTTATTAACATTTTATCTTAAATAATTCACTTGGACTAATCTCTAACTAGAGCCTGGTAATTGTAAATCATCACATCAAGCAACAATAGTATTTGTCTGATTATGCCACCAGTGCTTTAAATTATCTCCTTGATGAAGTACATAATTTCTCAGTTGAAATACATGTTCTATAAGAGTTTTAAAATTTTCAGATGTACAGGCTAGTTTGTAATTTACCTTTAAAAACCTAAACTCTATCAAAACCTTTCTTAATTATTTTTACAACTTCATATCATTTTCATAAAAGATACCAGAACTATTGGTCCATTATCATTTTTATACTGATATGTTTTAGTCTAGATTTTGCTGCAATTTCAATGAGATGAAAGCCTTTGAGTTGACTATGTTTAGCCTCATGTGATGATTTATGGTTTAAACTTATATATTTACCACACTGGTTACATGGCTCCTTGTATAGCCATTGTTTTGATTTTGAAAATAAACTATTGTCAAATGGGAATTGATTTGCCCGATCAGTCTTTTTTTCAACATTTAATATTTTGTCTATCAGTTCAGACTTACGATTCTTGTAACGTCACATATTCCTAATTTTTTAGCTATCTGATACAACATTCTTATACCCGTGGACTGTAACTTTTTTGCTTCAATTTTTAAAAGCTAAATTATATTAGTCTGTTTTGGAAAAACAAAATTCTACCAGTAGGTTTTGGTAGATAATTTTATGAGTCGGTAATTTTGAAGAGTAGATAATTTTGAAAAGTTGATTAATTTCAAGATATTTTGAATCTAAACGTCTTAAGAAACCATCTGTCCATCTTTCCTCAAAAAAAAGTGGAATATGAGACCCGCCTCAGTCTCAATTTGCTCTTACTGGTAAGAATGAAAAATTGTCGTGTAAAACATATATATATATATAAAGAGATGCAAGGATCTAGAAACCAACCAATCATGAGATGCAGAATATTCAAGAAAGTACTGGAAACTACCAATCACGAAGTTGTAACTTCATGGACATTATCTGTAATATAAAGTATTTGCCTTGTATCTGAAGAAATAACAGCTATTATGTTATCTTAGGTAAAATTGTAATCATGTTAAAATATTTGTTAATTTGAACTGAATAACATACCTATTTCCAACATATAGTATTTTATTGTTAAACATTCCTTTTTCTATAATTCTTGAGTAAAATATGGTATTTTTAATGAATAGGTATTGAAAATGCTACTTTGTAAATTTTATCTCTTTTCTGAAATGTTGTATTGGTTTAATTTTGCACTCTTTTTTATGTAAATGTGTAATTTCTGTGTAAATGGTTTAATTTTCCCATTCTTATATTGGAAATAATTGTAATTTTCATTCTTTTTGGAAATATTAAGAAATTGTATTTGTTAAATCTTTTGAAATATTGTAATTTTTTTAATATTTCAGAAATGTAATTGTCATTATTTTTTTACAAATGTTTAATTTTTCTATAATTGCTTCAAATTGTAATTTGGAAGTTCTGAACTGTACAAAAGTAATGTCTACTACTGAAAATATTTTTAAAAAAATCTTGGTTTAATCTTTCACTTTTTTTTAGAAATGTTAAAAAATTATAATTATATTATTTTTTCAAATCATATAATTTTTCATTCTTTTCTTCAGAAATGGTAAAAAATTGTAACTACTTAATTTTTCTGTAAATGTCATTAGTTTTCTGGAAATGTTAAAAAAAACTGTAATTGTTTAATTACTCTGTAAATGTCGCAAAATGCTACGTAATTTTCCAAAAATTTAGGAGTAAACTTGAGATTGTTCAGTGCTTGCGCAGAGAGTGTAGACTCCATAGGGAGGGAAAAAGTGCAAAACCGGGAACGAAAAATTGTGTAAATTGAGTTTAAAAATATAAAAAATTGAGTGATTGGGGGTTAAAAATAACTAAAAACCTATGGATTTTTGCTTGTCCCGAATGGGGTGCGAGTGCCGGCAATTATATTGCTAATTAGTAAAAATGCTTGTGTCTAACGAGTATCAGGAATAATTTTGGGTAGTATTATGTCTTCCTGCTGGTTGACCGCTAGCAGCTGAGGTATACAAAGTAATCACCGCACGCCCTTGGTATACATTAATCTGGTAAAAAATTCACATCCAGCAAGGAACCGGGGAGTGACAGTTAACTGATAACTGCTGGAATGGAATTCCGAAATATTGTTTAATTTTTTGAAATCGTCGCTCCAACGCTTTGCAAACGTATTCCAAAAACTGTTGAGTCCATACTTAAAAATTTCGGTATCCTTTGGCACTAGCCGTGTGTGTGTGTGTTGGTGTTGTTGCAGGTTCGCGATGACGTGCAGGCGCGAGTGGTGCGCGCGCGGCGTGGGCGTGGGCGCGGCGCTGGCGCTGGCGTGGTGGTGGCAGGCGCAGACACTGCAGGTGGTGGGCGTGTTGGCGCTGGCGCGCGCGCTGGCGTGGGCGAGCGCGCTGTGGCTGGCGCCCGCGCTGCCCGCCCGCCGCCTGCGGGGCGCGGCGCTGGCGCGGAGGGCGGTGCTGGTGACGGGCTGCGACTCGGGCTTCGGCCACGCCGCCGCGCGCCGCCTGCACGCCCTGGGCGCGCGCGTGTTCGCGTGCGTGCTGCTGCCGCACGGCGCCGGCGCCGACAGCCTGCGCGCGCTCGCCTCCCCGCGCATGCGTGTGCTGCCGCTTGACGTGACGGACGCCGACTCCGTCGCCGCCGCCGCGCGCGCCGTGCAACAGGACCTGCAGGACACCGGATGCGGTGAGCACTGCCCCCCCTTTTGCTTCTCAGGGAATCGAATATGCAGAAATTTTTACTCCTATTTGAAAACATTAATTGACCTTCACGCTTACTAAAACCTCTACCTTCGCTTTGCCAACTAACCCCCCGCACTCAACCAGGTCTTTATAAAGCATGGTGCTGTTTTAACCTCGTTTTATCCTCTTCTGGCTGTGTAGATCAGTAGTTTTCGCGGCACGCCCTTTTTTGCGCAGTTTGAGTGATCGGGAGTCCCACCTGCTCCCGCGAGCAAGAAGCCAGAGCCGCTCTCACGGCCGGGCAATCGCACGGTTCGGAACTCGAGACCTACGGAAGCGGAAGGCTTAAATATCCCCGGCCGCGACAATCATTGGAAATGCAAAACGTTGGTGATTTGGAACATTGAGATTAGGGAAAATCTGTTGCAGCTCAATTGAAAAGTACACTGTTAGACTCAACTACATTGAGAAGTAATTAGTAAAACGTACAAAATTATTGATTTATTACTAAGAACATATTCCACAGCACAAAATTATTTTGTATATACAAATAATTAGAAATAAACATAATAAAATAGCACCTATGTGGGAGGACAACTTTGAAGAGACTACTTCCGTGTCACTAGAATGCAAGATGCCCGAACGGGGGGCCGGTGCACACACGTACTCGCTACTTTTTGGAACACAGAGAATCTTATCTCCGATACACACCCGCTCCTGAATTCCGAGCTCGCCGTGTGTCTAATTCTTATGCAATCATATTTATGTGATCAAAGTACCATAGTGCTGGCTTGGATAACCGAGGTCACTAAGGTTCAAGGGCAGTAGTTGCCTCGGCTCGAAGGATCGCGGTTTCGAATCCCACTCTAAAAAGTAAAATTCCGCCTAGTAAAATAAAGTCAATGAAATAAGGAAAATAATGAAATAGAGGAAGTAAATTACAATCAAAGCAATTATGTCACATGTATTTTACAAATTTTTATGTTAAAAATACTGGTAAATAAAAGGGAAAACAATTATTGAAATTTCAAAATCTAAAATGTAATTAATATAATTCGTGCTGCAACATAGAGAAATATACGTGAGGCAAGTCTCTTCGCCGCCATTACTCGATGCCTTCGAATTCGCTTGAGAGAGCATATTTCATTACAATGGCCTCTGTCAGAGTATCAGTAACCGTTTTTCTTGTTTTCTCTCCCCCTTTCTCCTTCTCCCTCCCTCTCACTCCCATTACCTCCTTCTCCCTCCCTCCCCCTTCCCCTCCCCCTCACCGTCCCTTTTCCTCTCCCTCTCTCTTCCTCTTCCCTGGCTCTCCCCCCTCTCTCTTCCTCTCCCACTCCTCTTCCTCTACCTCTTTCCCTCGACTTCTCTCCCTCTCTCTTTGAAAGCATCAACTACCGGTGCCTTAACCTTATAATAAAACACATTACTTTATGTATAAAATGATTTTTTTAATTCGGCTTTACATTACATATGGCTTATTGAAAAGATCCATATGTTAAACTGTTACACAGTTAACTTAAACAATTACACAGTTAACTTAAACGGTTACACAGTTTTACACCGACAACTGGTGTATCTACCTCACCCCCAAATACTATGCACTCAGAGGATCCAACATATCCATATGACATTTTAACCAAGTTGATCGATAACGGCAACAGATGTTTAAATTTCCTAAAGAAGAGTCTAAAAAAACATGAGATTCGAAACGTTGTTGCAAGAAAATTGCTGAATAAATTGTAAATAATTGGTTCAAAAGGTAAATAATTAAAAGCATACATAAACCAGTTTGAACTGATTAAAAAGATTCATCTATCAATCTATTTACACACCAATATATTAATATACCTATATCCTTTCTCGCATCCCAGTGCTGTTGCTATCTAGCCCTTGTGTTTCCTAAATGGACCTAATTTCTCCGTGATTCCCTCAGCATCAACATTCATATAGCTTTATTTCCGAAATGTGCATGCCAATTATTCTTTTCACTTCAACGATTTCTTTAGAAAGCGATATTTATAAGTCTAAAGCGAAGTATAATTTCTTTCATTTGGTGACCTTAAATTCTAAGAATTTAAGCATTTGCAAATGCAATCACAATGCTGAATTTTTGCATTTATCCTACAATGATATGAAACGAAAATATGTATAATTATTTTATGTCTTATGGAAGTAAAATATATTTTAAAAATCCAAGGATATTGTTGTTTTGGTTGTAATGAAGTAATATTTTCTTAATAAACGTCTTATTATTTTCCACATTCTAATTTGGTGAGTGACTCATTTCTCTCTTTTGGAACATAAACTATCGATATTAATTATTGTGATACGAATATTGATTTATGACATAATTGGAAGTGAAAGTAATATCTTTAGTTTTATTTATGACAAACTTGGATACATATGCAACAAAAAATTAACAAACTCTTGTTTTCCAGAGCTTCAAGCAATAGTCAACAACGCCGGAATTCTAAATATCGGCGAAATTAACTGGCTGGACATTGAAGAATTGAGACAAACAATTGATGTTAATGCAATTGGCCAAATGAGGGTGACGCAAGCCTTTTTGCCCTTACTCAGAAAATCTAAAGGGCGAATTGTCAATATGAATAGCATAGCAGGTAGGCAAAAAAAAAGATCGTTTATAATTGTTATTTTGTCAACATTTATTTTTCTGAAAGAATTCGAAGCCAATAATGATAAGTATACGTGAATAAAAGTTTGAATATCCTGATTTTTCACTAGCTTCGACTAACACAAGCTTTGGGAAAGATACTTTATAAAATAGTATTTGCTTAATGTGACATCTCCATCTGCTTTAAACAATATGTATAGTGGCTTCAATTTACTTCTTTGAGTTGTTTAAATTATATTAGGTGAACTCTAACAAATGCCCAGTGCCCCACTCCCACCGTGAGGGGTACAATGAGATAAAAGGTGAAACCTGGCTTGACCATAATATACCATGACTATAAACATTATTTCTATTGTCATTTTACTTTTTTTACTTTTAAGCCCCATTACGAGTACTTGGCGAAGAGAAAGAATTGAAATGCAGTGGCAATACAAGAAGCCATAACATTTTCAATATTTTATCAAAAATGGCAAAATTTTTTGATTATACTTTTCCTCGAATTCAGTGAAGAAACAAAAAATGGCAGATTGTACTTTCGGAGAACTCTGAATTATTGAAAAGTTAAAAAAGAAAAAAGTTAAAGTTTAAACCTTTTTCGGCATCTTTATACAACTACAACAATGAAGATTGAGGTTTTCACAGAGAATCGTTTTTCAGACATTTTTAAGTTAGTCCATGTACAATTCTTCACAAATATGAGTAGTACCATATTTTACAGCGTGTAAAATGCACAATGCTCACAGGCACTTTGAGGGAAAAAGTAATTTACGCTATCAGAACTCAATTGATTGGTGATTCCGGGCGCGTCAGCTTCGAAGGTAATTTTCCCGTACGTGTAGTGTATGATATTTATCACGGATCTCCCTCTAGATGGCGAAAACTGGCGCCGACTTACACTCAGCTTGCGGGGATTTTCCTCAGCCAAGTATCTCCCACCAGCGTGGCAGCGCCTCAGCCGAAACAAGCTCTCTTTATCTTCCTATTGGTAATGTGGTGCATGAGTGTAAGGGGGGAACTAAGAAAGGACAGAGAAGAGGAAAGGAAGATCGATCAAGGAAGAGAAAGCAAAGATGGCCCGTGTGCTAGGGCATTCGCATAGTGTTGATCGGGGAACACACGGAAAACTACCGATCAGAGAAAGCGGCAGAAATAAATAAATAAATATTTTTTTAGTTTAGAGTTTTCGAAAAACTTTATTAAAAGTCATTTGAAGCACTCACAAATACAATAGTACCTATAAATTCCTGAAAATGTAATATTATCGGCGTGAGAGATCTTTTAAAAAAAATTACATTTGTGTAATTTTTGAAAAAATAAAACTCAGAAATGAACTTTTCGTCATATTTGAATGTGCAATTAGCATTATTTTTTCGAAACGTTTGAAGAAAAATTTGGAGCCGTTTTTTAAAAAAATCTTGTATTTGTAATTTTTTTAATTGCACAAATAGCACACAATATTGGGTGAAGACTACTACAATTTTCAAAAAAAATTATATGATCTTAATGAAAGAACAAATTAGGACAACAAATTTAATTTGAAGGACGAAACTCTATCTTTAATTTTGTAGTTGTAGGAAGACCGCTAAAAAAATAAAACTTTTAAATTTCTTCAATATGCAGAGTTAACCGTTAAAATCGGAAATATTTGAGAAAATATTTAAAATGTCCCAGGAGCCAAAAACTAATGAGTGAATTTCAAAATCTCAGAGCTTCGACTCAGGTGAAAGTGACAGGGGATTCTTCAATTTGGAAAAAAACCTATCCATGGTTTAGGTGCTAGTGTTGTTCACATACACCAGACAGACGAACGGACTGATTGATGGACGGACGAACAGACGTTTTGAAAGAAAACATCTTTTCAGGATCAGGGGACCCAAAAACGTCAATTTCCGTTGAAATCTCGAAATCGATTTTCCGCAACATTCCGTATATTACTCCGTACACACGTACGTATACAGGAAAGAGACTATCATACTATCTTCTTCTGCATTTTGTGAACGAATATTTCCACTCGAAAGAAATGTTTGATGCGAGGTATCTTTTTCTTCCCTCATCGAGTGCCCCACCCCCTTTTGCATGGACATTGTTGGCAACCCTAGTTAGCCAACATTCTCTTGGTAGGGACACTCTCAAACATCGTTACAATCCATTTTGCACAGTTCTGAGTACTGGTTGTAATATGTGTGATATGTTTACCTTCAATGTTTACCTTTTTGCCCAGAGGTATTCAATTAAACGTTACAAATGAAGCCCTTAATGACTTCTTTAACGAGTTCTAAATTTAAATGATAATTATCTAAATAGAATATTGTGAAAATTTTCGAAAATATAAGTTTTTTTTGCGAAATTTGTGAATTATAAACATTTTTTTTATTTCTCAAAATTACTCCATATTTTCTCTTCAGTATTTTCCCACATAGATTATTGCTGGGTTCAGATATCGAAAAAGTAGATCAATTCTGTTGTTATATACACTATATAATATATTAATTGTTCTTATATACTATAGTTAATTACTTCCTCCAACACGCTGTATAACCAGAATCCGGTTTGTGGGTCCTTGATACCTAAAAATCGATTGCCTATTCGTCCGACAGGGCCGGCCGGCCGGCCGGCCGTCTGTGGTCTTTGGTAGCGCCTAAACTGTTCAGCCGATTTTCTCCAAAATTGGTATTCCTCCATATATCTGAAGGAATCTGAACGGTTTTGCGAGTTTGAAACGGATATTTTAATTTGAGATGGTACTTAATATGAAGCCTCAACATTTTCAAAATTTTCTCAGAAATAATTCCAAATTTTTAGATTTAACTTCTAATATATATATAGAGCCTCTGTGGACTCTGTCCCGCGCTATCTGTTTGTACTCACGCGGGGCCAGGAGTATATTGCCGGTGTGCGTGTAGTGGCATGCCGCACTGCCATCAATGGCCTCAATGACTATTTTTTCCCTTAAAGCTTTCAGATTGAGGCCATCCGCAACTTTCTTTAGTGCGGCATCACTATCCGCTCACCATTCTCCCAGTGCCCCTCTCACAAGTGGGAGTACTTCGGCGCTGTGGTAACCGACGGTAATGAGGTGGGCGCGGGTGGCTTCGTATTTTTGACGCTTTTCTTCTAATTTCTTCTCAAGTTTGCCCTCTCGTGCGTCAGCCTTCGCAAAGTCCATCACAAGTGCCATTCTGCCCCACGCGAGTACGAGATCAGGGCGATTGCTGCCCACCACTGCCTGATTCTCCCGGAGCACCTGCCACCCCGCTGGAATGGCTGCTTCTTTATAAATGGGCCCCGATGTTGTTGTGTCGGGCGTTCCATAATGGTGACGTTATTTATGCCATCCGAGGAAAAAGTTAAATAATAAAATTTGAATCCATTTTTGAGAAAATTTTGATGCTTCATATAAAGCCAAATCAAAATATCCGTTTAAAACTCTGGTGGTCTGTAGTTCATTTAAATCGATCGAGAAATGTTAATTTTGGAGAAATCTGTTGAACGGTTTACGCGCTAACGTTAAACACAGTCGGCCACGTTTTGCTGTCAATCGATTTTTACACACATGAGCCCACTAATCATGGATTCTAACCATATGCTGGCGGATGTAATTCGTTATAACTTGGAAAATTTATCCATTTTTCGTTGCCTGGTACCGGCAATATGGGTTTTTCTATTGAAAATTATCTTTCAGCGCTCTCAGATTACAATACTTTCTTTTCTTACGAAGTAAGGGTGAGGAAGTAAAAGTGAATTTTTGACGCGATCCACTCTGGAAGAAGAAAGAGAAGACAAGAGAACAGAGAGAAATAAGCTGAGAGAAACACTTCCACTAATTACTACACGTTTACACAGCTGGAGGCCCAGCAGAAACCAACATCAGTAATTTTATAGAAAACATTGTTTCCCGGATCATGAACCGCCACTATTTCATGGAAATAGTTTCGTAGAGCTGATATTGGAGAATTCTCCTTAGACTGTGTGTAATGAAGCCTGTGTTCATTTTGTTTGTTTTGTTTTAGGGAGATTCCCGTGTAACGGCCTCACCCCCTACGTCGTGTCAAAATACGCATCTACAGCGTTCACGGAATGTCTGCAAGTGGACATGATGAAGTTTTCTGTTTCAGTTCACAGTATTGAACCTGCGATTTACATGTAAGTTTATTTCCAATTGTGTATTTATTTGATTTCTCCCTTAAATATATTATTTTCATTTTTAAGCACTGGAATAAAAGCCTTCAGTATATATTGGACCAATGCTCACAGTCACAATACATCAATGTCGTTTTCGTTATTTTTATCAATAAAAATCAAAATTCTTAGAATCTAAAAAGACCAAGTTTTTACTATAGCAATTAAAATATCTAAAATGACTGTTAAAAATTAATAACCTGTATTTAAAACTGTAATCTCAATAGATTATTGTTATTTGTAATCAGAATATAAAAGAAGAGGTGTGTTGGAAACTAAGAAAATCACTTATGTAGAGTTAATACAATCCTTTGATGTGATCTATTGCAGGGTTTTCATTTTCATTTTCTGTTTGTTGGAGTAACAAGGTACATAGATTGTTGACGCTGCGAAATATTGCTTAGATGAATTGGGAGAGCGTTAGCAGAAGCTGCAAAGGAATATCGCCGTCTATGTTTTCATCAGACGAGAGAAGTTCTGGAAAAGAAAGGACACATAATTGACAAAGATTATTACTTTGTCAAAGAACTTTGCCCAAAAGAAATGAATATTTGATCAACTGGGAAGGAACAGGCGCGTCTTTTTGAGCAAAATTGGACTCTTCGGCGGGAAATGTGAAATGTATGATCTTTTCTTCTAAAAGTCTTTAAAGAGCATTAAAACTGGGTTGTTCGAAGCGTGGTGCCAAATTTGAATTAATTTGGCGATCAATTGCCAACATAGATCACTACTACTGTACTTTTGCGTATGTACTTTTTTGCAACTTAAATTTACCTTACATAATTTAACTTTATTCTAAAATTAACTACTTAAGGGTAAGAAAGCTCATAAAGCACCTTACGTATTCTCGGACAGAATGTTCAAAAATGCTTGAATCGAGAACTTGTTCTTGTGCGGGATTTTGTGATTTGAGCAAGATTAAATTGGGATAGATGTTCGATTTGGTCGATGCATGAGTAGAATTTGTTGGATATCTTGGTAGTTTGAAATTATCTGTGGGATGTTTTATTCTTTGTGCAACTAAATTTGAAATAAACCATGGGGTCTTTGTAATTGTTCTGAGCAGGCACAACGCCTGCTCCCGGGGGCATTCTGCACTTACAAGCCAGTCGTCTGCCCGCGACAGAGGCGAAAGAGCAAGTGATGGGGTGAAGAGAGCTTTGAGGGGAGGGGTGTACCCTCTTATTTGCACAGAGGGGTCGTTGCGGCGCTTAGATTGAATGCCTAAGCGTCTAGTGCAAAGATTCAAGCTGTGAAATTATTTGCCCAGTTATTTATAAGGGGCAATCTACCGTATTTCGAGCTACAAGGGCCATATTTCATTGTTTATGTTCTTCTGTGCACTGCTAGGAATCGACTTTATTTATTTTACGCTCATTGTAACTGAGAATATTTTAAAGGAGTGGCTTCTTTTAAAAATGTATTATGTAATTTTAACTAACTGAAATTTAAAAGCTAATAATTTATTTTTCAACAAGAATGTTGGAATCTCCAAATGATAGCATAACGCAAGAAATTGAGGGCAGTCTCTCACATCGAGATTGATATAAAAATGACATGTATCCCGTTTCAAGAAGGGTAATGTTTGACATATTTGTGATGATTGCCCCCCCATTATGTCGCTGAATAAGAGACACCTGTTTCTCGATACTGGATTATCGCTATGAAATGATTATATCTTGTTAAATAAAACGCAAAGGGATTAATAGTTTTTATACGATATCGTATACGATTATGAATAGTGTTCGTTGGTTTGAAATTAGAAATATACAAATTACTCTTGTTGAAAATAAGGGATTTAGAGCAGAAAGTAATCATGATTTTTTAAGTATAAGTTGTTTTAGGTTCGATAGAACCAATTTAACATAATTAATGAAAAAGTAATTTATTACGGTCATCAAAGAAAAAAGATTCAATATTAATATTTTGTATCGAGCAGCACGCTGAATTTGCGATTACATCGAAGCAAAGTGAATTACATTTTCTGACCCATAAGCAATTATAATACTTAAGTTATCCTAACCACATATATAAATTATATAATATATAATATATAATATATAATATATAATATATAATATATAATATATAATATATAATATATAATGTGTATGGGTGTCATCAAATTCGTTTTAGGTTCATCTTGTACATTGTCATAAATCGACAAAAAATATTTCCAAAATGAAAGGTTTGCAATACTTGCATTGTGAGCCATGCGGCATTCCTCCAATTGCTCTTTCAATTCACGCGCTGCGCTTCCCATTGGCGGCCCCCCCTCCTGGAACGAGTCTTCTCCCCTTCAAACCCTTCCACACGGCTCGCGCGCGCCTCCCGAGGTCAGTCAAAGAGCAGATTGGTGTGCAGGCCCGTTCTGAGGTATTTATTTCGAATGATTTGGATTTTGTTTAAGGTAGTTCCCGAAGCATTTAAACAGATAGAGCACGCGTAATAGGCCGAATAATAGTTGTTTTAGTTGAAGGATATTAACATTTGAGTTTTTGCATTTATATGGTCTTTCTAGTAGCTTCGTATCAAGATTTAGTTCTAAGTATTTCATGTTTCGAAGGAGTGGAGTTCAAGTAATTAATGAGTTACTGATTTGGAGGACGAAGGGGTAAATATTTGTCTGAGGGTAAAGATGTTTGCATTTGATTTTGAGACATTCAACCGAAGATTCCATTTTAAGGACCTACTTTGTCTTCATGTCTTTTTATCTGGTTCCTTATTATATTGCTTAAATGACTGCAACGGTATAGTCCAGCGAATTGGCCGATGTCGGTGTTCGATAGCTGGGCTGCTCAAACGGGCGACCTGGCCCAGCCCATGAGGGTCACCGGTGTGGTTCGCTGCTTGTCGTCAGCCCAAACCCGGGGAGGGGGGAGAGAGACAATTTAAGGCTTTAGGGTGGAGATGCGCGAAGGTCGGGGGAGAGGGGCTCTCAGTCAAATTCGGGCTGTTTGGCCCGAATTTTTACAGTCTTTCTGTTTCAAGGGTATTTTAATGATTCTCGAAGAAAAGGATTTTGTCCCCACGGATCCATTTAACACTTGCCTTGATTGATGTCAAGTCGAAAGCTATAATTAATAGCTTGTTAGTAGAATAAAGAGTAAGATCATCCTAATATTGGGTGTTTTAATTTTTAAACCAATATAAAACTTAAAATTTTATTTGAAAAAAGAATTAATAAAATTCAGTTTTATGCTACATGCTTGCGTTTTAACGCATTATTATCTCGCCTTAGTTTTCTCCGAAAAATTTCTCTCGCAAAGCGATACGCGATTTCACAAGAAAATCGCTTCAATTTGCTTTGAATGTCGATGATGCCACACTGGTTTTAGTATTAAAACCCAAGCTGCCATATGTCAGGACAGGGCAGAAAAATTCAGTACACATGCAAAAGCTTAATTATCTTAATTCAGTTACTAACGTAAATTATAAAATTAAATTCTGAAATGAAAGGATTTTATTCTTAATCCAATTGTTAAACAAATGCGATTAATCAATCTTGTCTTTTTGTGGCGAATCCACATTTCTAAAGAAGCGGAGACGATCTTTTCTTTAAAAAATCGTAATCTTATAGAAAGCATGACGAAATTAGTAAAGATATGCGTGATTTTTTTATAAATATTTATTTAATTACGTAGATGGAGACCTATATCTCTAAATGCGCACTAATAAATCTTGAGTGTTTTCATAATGAAGACGTAGACCGAGAGTCAAATACCATACTCCGCGTGTTATGTTTGTACAAATTACACTCACGTTTTTAGTGTGTTCTTACGCCGTCGCGCTCGCAAACTCGAGTCATGTAATTCCCAAGCCCGCCATCTTCTCACAACTGCGAACACTACACACGTCCGACAATTTTGCTACTGTTTTTCTTAACATTTCTGACTGTCGCGAACACATGTTCGTCTAATGCTTCCCACAGGCAACAATTATTGTAACTAAATAATCTGAACTCATGTGTTTGCATTCTTGCGAAATAAAAATTAAGAGCTCGTCTAATTTCCTTCAATCTTCTGTTAGAAATTTTGTAGCGATTGGCACTGAAAATGTGCGTATTTTCCAAAAATAGATGAAACTTTAAAAATCACTAGATTTCTCCTTTTTCTGAAGGCCATAGAAACTGGATTAATTAATTTTGCTACAATTTCAAATGTATCGCGATAATACGTAATTTTTTGCAATAATAGCATTATTTTTAAATTTTTAACACCATTTTGATGACAAAACATGAAACGGCTTTTATTTACTTTCTATCGTTTTTATTTTTAGTGCCCAAAACGAATGGCTAATAATGATGTTTCGCTGTCAGAATAATAGTAGACAGACATTTAACACTTCAAATAAATTTATAATGTTATTGAATTACTGCAAGATATTCCATGACATTGTTTGTCTACTAATAATGAAAATTAAGTTCGAATGCAGTTTTCTATTCATATTGAGACTCGCGATTGCTGACTCCTATTCATTTAATACTATTCATTCACATATGCCGGCCCATTCATCGCTCATTTTCCTTTTTAATATTGACATCTTACTATTTCGATACAGGCGTGACAATCACATGTTCGAAGAAAAGTTTTATTCCGTGTATCGACAGGACTGCGTAAATGGGATTTCACCTCGTGGACTTCTTTTGAAGGCTATTTAATAATTAAATAAAAATAATAAATTATTTATTAAATCTATAAGTTTAAATAAAACATGTTCAGAATTACCCAGTCTCAACCTTAATTTCATATGTGATCCCTTTACTCATCATCGAATAAACAATACAGCATTTTACCTATTATTGTTGCTTGTGCGCTACACATGCAATGCACAAATTACATATACTACAAATAACTATCCTAATTTCAAGGGAAGACCATGAACGAGATGGTCGGACCCATTCAGGAAATAGGTTGATGTGTGGTATCGTGGAACACGTGACAGAGAATCTTAGAGATGCATAACTGGGGACATTTTGGCCCAACTCTCTATTTTATTTTAATTTATGACTCTCTTTTTGCATAAACTGACCCTACCGAGATGTGAGCGGCCTTTACCCTCGAGTGATGTACTTGATCTGGAAATAAATAAAAATGAAAAAACATGTTTTCAAACACCTAAAAATTTATTCACACATTTAGTACTTATCCATACATTCATTCCCTGATATACAAGGCAAGGCCATTGTATATCAATATTTTCCTCCTAATTGAATGCTTATTTAAAATGTAAATGGCTATGTAAATGGCTATTAAAATGTAAATGGTAAATGTAAATGTAACTATAGCCCGCTGCTTTTCCACGGTTTAACTATTAGCTTCTGCATAATAATTTACTAAAACTTTCAAAATTCATCTCGCGATAGCTATCATCTCTGTCCTCTATGTACCATGGCTACATTCATTTTCCATTACCATAATTTTCAATTTATGACACCCGCCTTTCAAATGTCTTCTTCTCGGACACAAGAAGTCCTTAAATTCGTCTCTTCTTGGTGCCTCCTGCACACCATGTTCATTTTTCCTACACTAATCTTCCTTCCATTGGCTATTCACCCACTTCACTTCCTACACGACTTCTTTGAAGAAATTCGTTTGTTTTCCTCTATACATTTCATTTAACAATTTTTTCTATTTAATATTGTATTTTCTCCTTTTTGAGATTTTTCTCAAAATACATTCAAAATAACTCATCACAATGTTAATAACTCGTTTGTAGGACTCCTATGGCTGAAGGATCAAAATCTTTAATCAAAAGGAAGATTGAGGCAATTCCAGAAGAAACATTGAATGATAGTGGTCGTAGATATAAAGACCAGTTTATGGTAAGTTTAGTATACTAATTGATCTTTTACTTCAATTTGTGTCCATATAGCATTAACTGAACGATATTTATTAGGTGATTTTGATTTTATTGATGTAATTGTTTCAGAAATTGGCTGACCTTCTTCTCGTTACTGCCAAACCACAATCAAAAATTTATGAAGTGATAGATGCAATAGAAGATGCTTGTCTTTCCGAGGACCCACAGGTAAAAAAATCATGATTAAAAAGCTACCACATCTGTCCCTATGCCTGACGATCTTTACGTCTGTTTGTCTACGGGCTGGAGGCGGGTACGTCTGTTTATGGGTACATTTGCCTGTTAGTTCATGTGTATTTGGTTATGTCTGTCTGTCTGTGTGTACGACTGTCAAGTTCACGAGGATTCAGTGTTGGCAGATTGATAGTAGTCTATCCATTTTATGAAGGAATAGAGAGAAAATTCTAATTGCAGTTAGACTGCTGGTGCAAACAGCGCAGCGCAAGACAACGTACGTACCGACAGACCCCACAAACGTTGAAAAGTCTCACAGCGGTACCAGAGACCCCCAAATACCCTCAAATTAACCGCTTCAAATTTTGATTCAGTATTACATTAGCTTCTCTGTACTAGTAAAACGAGAAAGTAAAAAATGTGGGTATCAGGAACCCACAGAATGTGGTTGACAAAATATCGACACGATTTCCTACAGAATTAACTTTCTAACTACATAATTTAGTTAAAAGTAGATATTTATGTGTCTTCATTGTTTCAGAATTTCTACTATCCCGGAGGACCAACTAAACTGATATTAACTCTGAAAGACGAAATTACAAATTTGCAGGGATTCGTCCTAAACCTAGTATACAAGTTTTGGTAAATTGGGTGTTTATTTTCAATGAATTTGATGCTCTTAATCATAATCAACAAATCACATGTACACGGTTTAAATTTATACGTTGTGATGATAATAAAATGGAACATGTACAGGTTTAACTGAAGTTAAGTAGCTTAAAAAAATGACATTAATATTTAGGGATCTCAATGTTGAGAACCTCAATATTGTGATAACAAAAGTCTGGCTTAGATGACAAGAGTTTCAATTTGAGTAATATTTGACGTGTTCGAGTGCATTGTTTGTGTTTACAATTGCATTTGGGAAGAATGAAGAAACGCCAAATTGTGGGGACAAAATTATTAATTTGATAGCGAACAACAGAAAAAACGTTTCTTCAAGGTGTGTATCAATTGGAAGTGGAAAGTCACGGTATTCACATCTGAGCGAAGTACCAAAAAAGCATTTAAGATCATGCAAAATTCTGATTACCATATCCAGAGAAGTTTGTTTATTGAGTTCAGGAGTGTTATTGATCTTATTTACAAGGTTGTATCCAAAATAAATCTAATTGTAAATGAAGAAAGTCAAGTCTGGTTTGCTGCTTAGAGTTCTTAGGAAAATTTTAGATTTTCCTACCTCTTAGACTCCGTCTTTTTCTATTTGTATTGAAGAATGAAACGCAATTATTAAACCAGTACATAAATCATGTAGGTTATGGAAAGTTAGTCATTTTCTTCTGATAGATGCTTCCAATCGCTATTTTATGTGTTAAGAGGCCACTAATTGAGTTTTTCTTAGTAAAGTCAATTTGATAATTAAAATAAAACGTAATATACAAGTTTTTTGATTAAATTTTTAAATTTTTTACGAAGATGAATTACTTGTGAATTTTGTTAATATTAATATAATGTAAATATGTTAAATTTGTTTGTTAGTTTTAATAAATTTCGTAATTAAGTTTTTGTCTTTTTGAGTACGTATTTTTATTGCTTTAATGTAGTGTTCAATATTTCCATAATTGTACCCTGGCGTATAAATGAGGTTATAGCCAATAAATAAATTCTTCTTCTTCTTCTTCTTCTTCTTCTTCTTCTTATTATTATTATTATTATTATTATTATAAAATACGTTCACACCAAGGTGGCATGACTTCAAAAACTTATCTTTGTAAAATAATGCAATTCTAATGTTAAGGAATATTTGTAATTTGCTTTTTGAAAGTAATTTGAATTTTTTCAACACGATTTTATTGTGCGTTTTCTCGAAACCATCGCGATTATACATTCCACCCACCATAGACAATAGCTGAAGGGGCAAGCCGACGAAAGCCAGCGTCTACCAAGTTAATTACGCTGCTCAATACATCTTCTGCAGCCTACCATTCATCTCAAATGATTATTTCGGCAATAAAAGTAAAAACACCTGTTTCTCTTTGGGAGAAATTTCAAGAGAAAACAAGAGTTACCCGAAAGTATGTTTTCTAGGAAATTCTTTCGTGGCCTGTATTGATTTCTATTAAAACAGTTGTTGTTTTTTTTTTTTTCATTAAAAATGGCATGCGATATCGAACAGAACCTTTCGTGAAGTTGCAAATGGACACACATTTTTCTCTTGGTTCTGGAAACTAGTTTAAAATTTAATTGTATAAGTTGGAAAATATGTCATATAAAATACTAGGCAATGCATGAACTATCAACACATTCAAATTTAATATTAATTATTATTTATATAAGTAATAATTATTAAGTGATTATTATTTATTAATAATTATTTAGTATTTATTATAATATAATACGTGTTTACTTTATAAGTTATGTAAAACAGTGAAGAAATAATAAATTTTCTTAGATATATTTGTCCCATCAAAAAATTATCTTACTTGATGTCAAGAACGTAATATTAGTTTTATTGTACAAAGAAAGAAAGTACAGAAAGAAATATTACTACCATAGTTATTTTAAACATTTATACGTTGTTTAAAATAAATGCTACTTATTATTCCTCACCAGTATGTTGTTAATTTTTGCGATGATTGATTGTACAAATAATAAAAACTTTTATTATTTATTAATTTCTAATGTATAAGTGTATAAATTTGTACATTTCAGGAAGTAACAGTTGCAATCTAATTGCATTTGCGTTTAATTTGTTAGAAATGTAAAATGTATGTAACAAAATGACAATTAAGAAACACAATAACAAGTAAGAAAATTAAAATAAGGTAAAACTATCACCAATTAACAAGCAGCCACAGTTAACACTTTCGTAAATTTCTCAAAATTCTTGGTCTATAGTACTAAATTCACTTATATGAAACTCAATGGACGAATTGCATTTCTCTTTCTGAATTACAATACCCTTCCATAAAAAGAACCATTTTTTTAATTTCTTGTACTCTTTTTATTAATTTATTTCCAAATGTTCCATATTTTTGTCAATTTTTCGGTACCATATGAGTGTATTTAAATGACACTTTGAGTACATCTTACAATTTAGAAAATGCCGTTTGCGCATTTCTGAAAATGTACAATTTCGAATTGATTTACCCACAGAAACAATTGAGATTTTGAGAAACTTCATAAGAGATAATTTTAAGTACTTGATTCGGATATCCACAAAATTTTGAAAGACTCTTATAATGAAAATATTCACCACATTAGACATAGTATTTTTAATGAATATGTTTAATTTTAGAAAAATCAAAATGGTTACTAAAAATTGTTCTCGTGTCACAGGGTTCTTCTAGCTCTATCCATTCAAAAAGTTTAAAGATAAAAATTGGAGCTGTTTTTGAAAAAATGTACCTACGTATATTCTTATATTGCCTGTTTTCACAATTCTAAAACATTTTCGTCGATAAGAAAATAATGATGAATGCGTTGAGTAATATTTTTGTATATTGATGGCCACGTATGTGCTTCTTTCCCGAGTTGAAAATGAAAATAATTTTGAATAGGAACTGGATTTGAGATACGTCACGGGTGACATGACAGTTGGGTCAACCGACAGAGGGTGTAGAATTGTTGATAGATCATAGAGGTCAATCTGTTGTGAAGTGCAGAGAAGAAATGCGATGGGATTTCCTACCATGCTGTCGTACGAAGAGCAGGTAAGGATTGTTGATATGTATTGATAAGAAGTTGGCGGTGTCACTGTTCCTTTGGCTTTTCAATGATTTGTTGTTTCTCGTGTTGGAATTATGGCCCATTGTTGTACGTGTAAGTCAGTATAATACTATTCCCTTTAAAAGAATAGAAAATTATATTCTAGTATGAACACCCAACGACTTTTAAGGTCTCCTTAAATCTCCTCCCTGCTCAGTGGGAAACTCCCATCCAATTTCTCTGTTACAGATGTATTTAAACCTAATGGGAGGTTTGCCGACGTGCCCAGTGAGTTGGATACTCACACAAAACCTCTCATTAAACGGGATACAGTCATCATCATAGGAAGGCAGAATGACATCAATTTGGGTGGTCACTTTACACCTGAGCAACATGTTGACAAACTTCAACGTGCCACCCAAAACACGAACATTATAGTCTCGACTCTGCCCTTCTGGTACATCAAATCAACACTGCAAATAAATTAACCACGCAAACAACCAATTGAAACTGCATCTGAGAGACACACAAGTTAAATTATTAGAGCTAAACTTTCTCTCAGATAAGTACTTCACCCGGCATGGTCTTCACTTGAACCTTATCGGGAAACGCACTCGGTAACGAGCTTGCAAAACACATCCTTTTACAACCTCGGCAGTGTCCTACCCAACACCCATACCCACCCACATCTCCTAGTTCTTTTCCATTCTCCGAGACCTCTTTGGACCCAACTACCTTATCCCCTGAACAAATCCTCCTACTACCTCTCCCATTATTGATTTACCTACATTTGTCGCCCCCTCCCTCCTCATCTCCTGTCACTGCTGGGGCTCAATACTTCCTTCAACCACAAACTCGAGGTCAAAAATAAGATAAATAAATAGCAACTACAGTTAAATGCAACAGAAAAACATCCATGTAGGTACACGCAAAAATTCAAATAATGCTTCATAATGTGCAAACTCTTTCAAATAAGATTGAATTAATCTAGGCAGCATTACAGTGTGATCTAGATCAAATAGAAGTCTTTTGCTTCACCAAACGTTGGTTGTCTCATAATGATCTAAACACACTCCAAATTCCTAGTTTTTACCTTGCAGGACCGTATTGTAGAGCGAGGGAATCAAATAAGAGTCCTGTTTACGGTTCGTGTATTTACGTAAGAAATGATATTGTCAGAATTCAATTTATATGCAGTTGAAAAAGTTTTTGAAATACGTTCAAAACTATCTTACTTTGCATCCACAGACCTCCAACAAAGCAAGCTTTATATCATTTCATTTTTTTTTTAGAAAATCTAGAGATAACACTGAACAAAATTAGTAACCAATCTTTTAAATCCATTGCTAAATGTGGAGGTTTCAATATTGATTTTCTGAGCGAATTCTCAATTTACTGCAGTTTCTCAATTTACTTTCTGAGCAGTTTCTCAATTTATTGCATTCTTTTAATTTAGACATTACAGTAAATGTACCTACACGCAATACATTTACATCACAAAAAGAAATAGATCAAATTATAATTAATAAAACCACAACTAGATGTGAAATAAAAACTACTAATCTAGTTTATAGTGACCATGATGCACAAAGTCGTAAAATTACTAATAACTTGAACACTGACATAAATTATACACGCATGTGCAGATCATTCACTAAAGTTAACATAAAATAATTTACGGACTACGTGCTGTACGAATCTTGAGACAAAGTTTATAATGCTGTTGACACAAATGAAAAATATGATATATTGTTCTCAAAAATTTCATTTCATTTTAACGCATACTTTCCTCTCAAAAAGAGAAAATTAAATATTTCACGGAAAAATAATGCTTGCATCACACAAGGTATTAGAACATTGGGTAAAAACTAACGTACGCTTTACTTTATTTCTAAACATAACGTATCACTCGGTTTTCATGTCTACTTCCGAGAATACAAAAGAATCTTAAGGAAAGTAATAGTTAAGGCAAAAATAATGAAAAATAATCAGGATATTTTGAACGCAAGTAACAAAATTAAAGCAATGTGGAATATTGTAAAAAATACGACCACATCATCTCGTTACTTAGTAGAGATTGTAGTTTTAAAGGATAATGAACGAGAAGCCAGTAATACGGGAAAAATTGGCAAATCTCTTCAACCAACACTTTTCTAGAATTGCGGCTGAACTCACGAACTAAAACCGCAAAATTCAACATCATTACCTTCCCGAAACATTTTCGACACGATATTTTTTTCCGAAACTTCATCTAACGAAATCTTACGTATAGTCAGTAAACTAAAAAATAAATATTCATCTAGTTTAGATCAATTTCCGGATTGTTTATTGATGACTTGTGCACCTGCCTTTATAAACCCGTTAACTCACATTTTCAATGCTTCTTTATGCACAGTAATATTTCCAGATATTTTCAAAAAAGGAAAAATTAAGCGATGACATAAATGTGTCATAAAAATATCTACATTTCTAATTTTCAATGCGTGCAGCAATGAATTGTTACATTCAGTGCGACACTGCTCACGTCATGTGAACACAGGATTCCAAGAAAAAGAGAAAGAGAGGAAGTGAGATAGATATATAGACAGACAGACGGATAGACAGATAGATAGATAGATAGATAGATATAGATAGATATTGATATGATTATTTAAACCGTCAATTTTATATCTCCTAATACAGCCTATTTCAACATTAATTACTTTTGTGCCTATTTTTCTTTTAAAAACCTAAAATAAGACTAACTCCTAATTTTTTTTTCTGTGCAGCTACTTCTTACTTTTTTCTTCTGTGT